AAGTATTAATTCATTTTCAGTACAAGATCATTAATGCCTTCCCCCTCTACAGTACCCCCTGATCCAACGGCATTGAAGTTCACAATTCTGGAAGAGATACTTTCTCCTCATAATTAAGTAGGTAGCTCATCTGCTTACCTAGAAGCAGAGGAGAAAGCAGAGGAGGTTTTTTCATATAATTACTATTATATAATCAATTGAGCCCCTCCTTAACACCAGAACCCCTGGCCCTCAGGCCATGAAATATACATTTTTGGAAAAGACACTCCTTCTCATCATAACTATGAATACAATCAGTTTGTTTAATATCCAGGAGCAGAGAAGATTTTCAAAGAATTAATGCAATTTCACTGTATATATAATAGAGCCCTGTCCTAACACCAAAGCCTCTGACCCTTTGGCCATGAAATTAAAAAAAATGAGAAGGGACCTTGCTCATCATTACTATGTAGATAGTTATTTTAATACCCAGGAGCAGAGGGGAAGTTTTTCAAAGAATATATGCATTTTCACTATAAAATCAACAGAGGCCCATCCTAACACAGGCACGCCTGACCCTGGGGTCCTGATATTTACAAATTTGACCATTGCAATTTCAAAATAGATGACTGTAAAACAGACCTTGGGCATCAAAACTATGTAAGTATGTAATAAGTTTATTTTATTATACATCTGCTGACTTTTCCCTATATAAAATTAAGTGATTAGATCTGAAGAATTCCAGAGAAATCGCTGTGAATCGGCTTATCCCCGTGAGTTAATTTTTTTTAGCTAATCCCTTCGTCGAAATATAGTCATGCTTATTCGCGGTGATAGCTTTTTATTCTGACGTCATAATAGAACGAGGCAAAAACACAATACTTTGCGACGTATTTCATGTGACAAAACGGAATAAAATAAGACGTAAATAACAAACAAAATGCAATGATTGCTTTAGAATTATGGAATAACAATTTTTTTATTTGCGACGAATAATGATTAGTTAATTTGTTAAAAAATATTTTTTTAAAGGTGATCTTTAAAATTTAAAGTTGTATCGGTATAATAAAATAATTATAGTATATCATTGAGGGAGTTAGCAATATTCTAGTTTCCCCCGACCAGGACTATTTCCCTCGGCGCGCTGCGCCTCAGGAAACAGTCCTGGTCTTTTGGAACTGGAATCTTGCTAACTTCCTCAATGAGATACTTTAACTGTATATAAATCTTAAGAGCAAAGAAGAAAATTTTCAAAGAGTTGATGCACTTTCACTAAATAATCAATAGAGCCCCGCCCAAACACCAGAACCCCTGACCTTGGATCCATTCAATTCACAAGTTTAGAAGAAGCACTTTTACTCATCATATCTTTACATTAAGTTAGCTTGTTTAATACCCAGGAGAAGAGAAGATTTTCAGAGAATTAATGCATTTTCAGCAAATGTATATAATAATAGAGCCTCGCCCTAACACTAGAACCCCTTCCCAAGGGGCCAAGAAATTTACAATTTTGGAAGAGACACCTTTTCTCATTAGAACTATACATTAAGTTTGTTTTATACCCAGGAGCAGTGAAGAAGATTGTCAAAGGATGGATTCTTTTTCACCATATGATCAATAGAGTCCCACCCTAACACCAAAACCCCTAACCCAGGGGCCATGAAATTCACAATTTTAAATAATGGACCTTGCTTATCATGATAATGCAGATAGTTTGTTAGTTCCATACCTAGGAGCAGAGAAGAAGATTGTAAAAGAATGAATGCATTTTCAACATGTAATCAATAAAGCCTAGCCCCACTACCAGAACCCCCGACCATTGGGATCATGAAATTCAAAAAGTTGGGAGAAGGAACCTTGCTCATCATATCTATGTTACTATGTACAAGTATATAGTTTGTTTAATACCCAGGATCAAAGATTTTAAAAGAGTTAATGCACTTTTATTATATAATCAATAGAGCCCTGCCCTAACAACAGAACTCCTGACCCCGGGGCCCTGAAATTCGCAATTTTAGAAGAGACACTCTTCCTCATTATAAAGTTAGTTTGTTTCATACCCAGGAGCAGCAGAGAAGATTTTCGAAAGAGTTTGATCATGTTCAGTATATAATCAGTAAAGCCCCGCCCTTACATCAATTATTATAAAATAATGACCCAACTGGGCTCTTTTTCTACAAAAAGTGATTTTTTATCTACTGGTGGGTGTGGGGGTCATTTTCTGCTGTTGAAAATGAACGCCCGGTCATTATTTGATGGCGGTCATTATTCGTACTTTACACAGGCGAATGTATCGTAAGACCACCAGTGGTACCTTTTAATGTAGAATTCTTATTCGCTTCAAGTAAAGAAGTCATGTGAATATAAATTTTAGGAAATATAGTTTCATTTAAGAATTCAAAAATTAGACATTTTACTAAAATAATTTGTTTTGCAGAGATACATACTGTTGTTACATGTTAACTCCTCCGGCAGTGGTTTGATCAAAGCTTCTACATAAGAACGAATAAAAGTTGCTGCTTTTCCACCACACAGATTTTGAACGTTGTCTTCAAAACAGGTCAAAATCTTTTCTAACACTCTGTGAATTTCATATGAAAATATCTTAAACAATAAATTTTAATAAATTGAGTTTCATATATATATTTCCAAACACTTTTTTAATTATATTATTGTTTCTATATACAGAGAGAGAGAGAGAGAGAGAGAGAGAGAGAGAGAGAGAGAGAGAGAGAGAGAGAGCGCACTTAAAACAAAGGGCACTCTACGTGTCTATATCCTACGTGCCTGATCTACAAAAACGATACAAGATGGAAGTTTATAAAAGACACGAAAAATGACCAACTACATGAATTGTCAAATTTTCGGGACCCCCCTGTCCCTTCTTGAGAAAAAGTTCGGAAGTCATTTAAATGAAAGGAAAAATAACTAGCACTACTACTAAACTATTAATGCAAGCACTGTTTATTTACAATGGTACATATTAAATTTGAAGGTTCATAACCAATGGTAAAGAAAGATATCCGGCTATGAAATACGTCCAGTCTGTCGGATGTACCCTGCTGAAGTGAGATTTACATATAATTTATGTAGATATATAGATATGAAAAAGAAGACGTTGACAACTTGTCAGAATGGATTAAATGTAATGTTAAAATCCATGTTAAAGTCGCGTATTAAAAGATTTTGGGGCAATATGAAAACCATCTATCCCATTGTGTTCAATAATCCAGAAGTTATATATGTAAAAGAATTAGATAGATTGCATGATCAGTACGTACTGGTCCCTATCGACAAAGCGGGTAGCAACATTGTCTTCGTTTGTAAGGCTTATTTTATAAATTGTATTTTAGAAGAACTTGGATTTAATTCTACAAGTGGTAATCCTTCTTACACTCATACTTACCTTTTCAAGAAAGAAATTCTTCAAAATCATTTGTCAGTTTTAAATATTTTTGATATTCCAAAGAGCCAAAATGAATTTGAACTACCCTATATATATCGGATTCCAAAACTTCAAAAAAAAAAAAACTTTCAAACAAAGACACATTGCGGGTTCCAGTAAATGTTCAACCAAGCCTCTTTCGTTATTCATCACTAAAATATTAACAGTAGTGAAGGAATAAATTCTGCGTACTGTGCAACAAAATATTCAAGACGTGATGTGAATCAGATGTGGATTCTAAAAATTCCAAAGAACTTTTGGACAATTTGAAATCACAAGATTTTACCAAAATCAACAGATTAAAACATACTAATTTTCAACTTTATACACAACTATTACCAACAATAAATTCAGGGTTTTTTGATATCATTGACAGCTGCTTTTTCAATGAAAATGGAACTCATAAATTTACTCACCTGGTCATTAGTCCTTTGAAAAATTATTTAGTTAAAACACATTGTGATTGCACAAACAGGTACTCTGAAGTTGACATCAAAGAGATGCTTTAGTTTCTGATTGACAATATCTATGCTTTTTTTCGGAGACCAGGTATTCCAACAATCTAATGGAATTCCCATAGGTACCAATTGCGCTCTGTTATTAGCAGACCTATTAAAGCAGAATTTGTGCAAATCTTATGCATGAAATGAAGAAAACGCTGGCTATGGCCTTCAACTCGACATTTAGATATATCGACGATGTATTTCAATTAACAATGGTAATTTCCATTCGTACGTCGATTTAATATATATCCTGGTGGGCTTGAGATAAAAGATACCGCAGAGTCTGACACATCTATTTCATACTTGAATATTTTACTTGAAAAAAGACGTTTATGGTAATCTAACAACCAATCTATATGATAAACATATGACTTTTACTTTTCAATTGTCAACTTCCCTTACTTACGTAGCAATATATCTTCTTCACCTGCATACGGAGGTTTATATATATCAGTTTATTCGATACGCAAAAGCATGCTCTACGTATGAACAATTTCTAAAACGAGGTAAATTGTTGACAAGCAAGTTGATGAAACAAGAATATCATCAGTCTCGTTTTAAGTCATCATTTCTTAAGTTCTATGGTCAATACAATGACCTTGTCGGCATATACAATTTATCATTGATTCGTACGTATTGTTAGTCCATTATTTAGACATTGAATTGACAACGGATTTCTCCGTTATTTTCCAATCATGACAAGGAGCACACGGCGGGTGTGACCGGTCCGCAGTAGATGCTCACTCCTCCATGGCACCTGATTCCACCTCTGATGTTTCGAAGATCCGTGTTTGCTCTGTTCCTATTTTGTATTGTTGTATTGATTTTGATATTGAATACTGTTCGTTATCTCCATATCCTTCTTCTAGGAGTACATATATATGATTGGATTTTTTGTTTGTACACCTGTATATGTGTTAAGAAGAGACAAAGCGTTACATGGATTTGAATTGATAACTTAATTTGAGCAACATTTTACTCCCTTGATAGGAGAGAAGGTAAATTTGTTGCTCAAATTAAGTTTCTTCTTTTTGTCCGGAGGAAGGTACAGGGCGTCCTAAGAATGACAAGTTTTACTGTTCGTTTTGTAGATTATATCTGCACCTGTCACTGAAAACATTAGAACCAATTTCGCGTTTTTCTGTGTTGATAAGTTCTGGATAGTATTTCTGACAAGACTGAAGATTGTTATGATCCCCCACAGAGTTGGTCATCACACATTGATAGTTTTCAATGAATCCTATCAAACAAAGATATTTTTCCATCAGTTAAAATCTTTCAGTTTTTCTGATTTTTATTATACGTATGACCAAAATGAAATATAAATCCATAGAGTTAATGTTTTGGAAAAAAAAAATTTTTTTTGGTAAATCATTAAATAAGGATGTGTCATAAAATGTTTTGCGATATTTTCATCTTTTTAAATTTTATTTAAATATACCAGTTGTTGTTATGTTTAAAATAGTTTTTATTTATAAGTTATGCAGAATAAAACTATGCGTAAGTCTAAGTACCTTGTTTCCCTTCTTTACACAGATATTCCGTAGCAGAAAATATCAGGTCAATTTTAATAGAGAGGCTGTTGGTAAGCACACATCTTTTATAGTCCTGAAAACACGACACTAGTTCCCACAGGATACTGTTCATTACCATGAAAAAGAGAAAAAAGGCAATGTCAGGGATAACTTTATAATAAATATTTAAATAAGACAACTGGTTGTTTTTGGCAAACGAAAAGAAATTGATTGTAAATAAAGAACTGCTTTCCCTGCGCAATAACGAAAAAAATATCGATCACAAGAGTATTTTGCCATTTATTTAATACCATTCAAAACATTTTTGTGACGTCATCTTTTGTTAAACCTGGTTCAATAAATTGGTTATTGTCCTGAACCCCGTCCAATAAGTTACCTGTAGGTGTCCAATAAGATTCAACTTATCGGACAGGTACAGGTTACGTTAAAATGAGAACAAAGAGCGAGGCAAATAAGTAATCTGCACTTAAAAGGCAATGACAAATCAAACAATTTAATATGAACAATGTAGGAAATTAGTAGCGTTAAATGTTAACATTTTACAAAAAATCCTATTGAAAAAGGCACAAAAAATCCAGTGAATTGAATGTTTCAGATTCATTATTGAAGACGCATCCGTGGCTCCGATCATAAATTTCCTAAATTCACCGTTCATTGTTATATAAAAGATTCATTTCACAATGCTTGATTCACGGAACATAATATAGAATCCAATGGACACAAAGGATGAATGAGGAGAATGCGTTTCTTTACACACAACCTTGGGCTTTTTGTTTATTGGAATATCCATTTTTCCGCATTTAGCACAAAATTTCGCTCACGAAATTCCAACAGAATCTGTAATTTCGTTCAGTGATTTATTACCATTTGTCCAGCTAGTCCTGCGTCGCTTGTGCGAGTGTCTGTCGTTGTTTTAAGGAGTGGCTGGGCTAAAATCCTTCCGAGTTCGAAACCTGCACACAAAAGAGAAAGTGTTGTATTTTAAAATAAAAAATACATCAGAAATAATCTCCCAATTTCAAAGAAAATGCTTAAACAGTTGTAGGAGTAAAATCCTTCAAATCCTATTGCTTTACAAAAATTACCTGTTGACGGGAAACTCCGAAACATAAGAATATGTATTCGATTTCATAGTAAAAAGTTGAACTAAGGCATCTTGGTGTAATCGATAAATGGCATCGTCAAAACACCCGATTCTGAAGGTATTTTTTTCAAAATCAAAACGTACGTCGTCATTCGTGGTCGTTGCGTTGTAAAATGAATAAATTGTAAAGAATTTAGTAGAACTGACTTTTACGCGTGCGTAGTATAGATAAAAAATGTCGCAATGCGGATAAATAAGACTAAACAAAGTTAATGTTCATATTTATCGATTTAGAACATAACTTATTTATTCAGCCAACCAAATGCTTCCATCTCTCTCGAAGAATTGATTCTTCATGGTGAAGAATTCTATTTCTGAAAAATTCAACGGTGTCTGATTGGTTCACTTGACAGTTATATGGGTGTGTCTTCATTGGTCTTTGTTCAGCACACACTATTCAAAACCCACGTGCTGTTTACAATCATGATATTTAAACTTTCTAGGCCTTGCTACATTTTTCCCCACTATAATCTTATGTCGCCTTTTTGAATATTATTTTTTTCGCATTTCGGTACATACAGAAAATACAACCATCGTCATGTAGCCTATATCAGGGACGAACCTTGTCTTTGAAGACAGATTTAATAACAATTTTCATCAAATTTTTATTTGATATTAGACAGCCACACTCACTCCTGCTGACTAGGGCCTTGTCATCTTAACACAATCATTTTTCAAAAATGTAGATATTACGATTCTTGTTACATGGGTATTCATAGGCGTCGGAACCGGGGGAGGGGGGGGGGGGCTTAGCCCCCCACTTTTCTTGCAAATATATACATAAAATATAGTAATTGAAAACTAGGGTTTACTTTTTTTTGGTTGGTTTAGTCCCCCCCCCCCACACATACATACACACTTTCAATTTGCTTCCGACGCCTATGGTATTCATTAGTTCAGTAACTTTAATATCTTCACCATACCATTTCCCCAGTAAATCAAGGTATTTCATATAATCCCGTGCTAACCTAAATGGGTTGGGAGTCCATTCTAAAACTGCGTGTGTTCGATTTTGATTGCGTGCTCGATATGTACGACGAGCGGTCAAGTTGAGCCTTATATATGACACAGCCATGGGAGGAGTTTATTTTTAATCCATGCATTTGATTGGCTGAGGTTCTGTTCTAAATCAGTAAGATCATATGAAGAGAAATCTTCGTCATGACGAAGATTTCTCTTCATATGATCTTACTATTACATTAAACACATTAAACACCTCTGTTTTCTTTGGCCTTACTTGATGAACAGTGCCAGGTAGTCATCCAAGCAGAACGAGACCTTACCTGTGGCTGTCCAATAAGTTAACAATGGAAGTGTTCGACAGTGGTGAAATGTTTTAAGTAAGTTATAAGCCTCAAACTGACCATTATGTCAGATATTAGACTCTCCTCGGCGCTAACGCGCCTCGGGTCGTCTAATATCTGACATAATGGACAGTTTTCGTCTTATAACCATTACATATAAGCAGAAGTTTTTAGCGAGTATTAAATTGTATTTAAAAACGAAGGTTATGAGTTCGCTAAAATTGAAAATCGCTAAAAAATTAATTCCGTTTTTTTTTTTAATTTAATGCTTCTTTTGTTAGCATTAAAATCTCAAAGATTACATCTCGTTAAAAAAAAATACCAATTTAAAAGACAAGTCCCTAAACATACATCTGGCTTATATTTCCTTTTATACAGTAATAACATTTTCCAAAGAATTTGAATAAGTTTTCTTGTGCTTATTTGCTAAGTAAAATCAATAATTGATAAACAAAATGAATGCACTAACCTACATTTTTCCTCTACAGCTTCTTGAGGATTACGTGTTTTCAAATTATAGTCTGGCGAACTTATCTTTTGCGTATAATTTAGTATAGATGGCTTCAAAACACAATCTTCAAGTCCTGAAATGTTGCACATTTGACCAAGGGTTCATACATGAAATTTAAAAAAATGTTTTTTTCTGTTAAACACACAATATTAATAATAGCTTCTACAAGACTTTAGTTTATTCAAAGTGTATGCCCAAAGTGTATACCGGAAGAAAGATTAAAAATTGGATAAAGACCAGTGAAATGTGAGAAAGCAAAACCAACTAACCTGTATTGTCATTCCATGCTAAGTGATATGTGCAGAGTTCAAACATTAAACTCACCAAGTCGGTGAAACGTAAACATTAACAAACATTTAACAGAGCTCATGCACTGTTTACAAATATATTTATGTTTAATCGATCGCTTGGTTAAACTCGGCACAAATCACTGGCAATACTGGTAGTTGTTCTGCTTTATCAAATTTCTATTCTGAAATTTCTGGATGATGGTTTTAATATTGTTCATCTAATATACAATAGGCAAAAAATGTCTACTTTCTAAAAGTTTATTTTGTGAACGTGTAAGGATGTGTTAATCAAACACGTCAATTAATGTGTGGCTACAAAATTTTCCAGATAAAATAAGACTTAATATTTTATTCTGATATTTTCGTATGAAATTTTAATGAAACATATAATTAAAATCATTTTATTATACAGAAGATTTGAAAAACAAACTAACTTCAATGAATGTCTTAGTCCCTTTAAAGCGATAATAAGTAGTTTTATTTGACAGAAAGTAGAAACAAATTATTCGAGATTTTAGAGATTGACTTGATTTGCATTGTTACATGTTGGGTCAAGATCAACACAGAATGTAATAACACAAAATGTAACAACAAATTTATTTAGGATTAATACATTTTGCGTTATTTCATTTTGCTCTAGATCAAGACAGAATGCAACAAAGCAAAATGTACATTTGAAACAACATGATTTTTTTATTACAACATTTTGTATAGATTGTTACATTTTTCGTTTAGGTAAATTAGGTAAAAAGGTTAGAACGCAAAATTTAATAACACATATTTTGGTCAATCAGGTTGAAAACAATTTCAAATTGAGTATTGGGTGAAGAAAAGAAACGGAAAGTAAAACAAATAAAATCGGAAGTACAAATACTCCCTCCCCATTCTGCCTGTCAATGCCAGATGTCTAATTTGCTAACCAACGTACACATTTACGTTGTACATGCATACAGAGAGCTTTGATAATTAAAAATGTCATTGATTTGATTTATACAAACTTGTTTTTAAACAGTAACGTCAATCAAAGTTAAGTTCCTGTTAAATAATTGTATTTAATAAAAAGGTAAGAAATAGTTTGGAAAAAAAGATACATTTAGATTTAGTCACGTTCGTACAAACCGTAACGTATTCTGTATTGTCATAGGTCTGTCTGTTTATTTTATGAAGTGAGTTTCCCCCTGGTTAATGTTTAAATCAATGTTGTGATCTTTTGTGTTGAACACAACCTCCTCCAAAATAGATATATTTTGTTTAATTACATTTTGCGTTGTTCTCGACTCAAAAATCAAACAACACAAAATGTAACAACGAAAAGGACATAATTAGATTATGGGTTTATAATCTAACCCATTGCAATAAGCAATATATAAAAACCTTGAACTTATATGTAGCCACATTTTGCGTTATTACATTATTCGTTGATCTCGACGCCGAAATGTAATTACACTAAATGCAATAATACCATTTTATTACATTTTGCATTGTTATAACATTTTATGTTGTAACATAGCACGAATTCTTAAACCTTTAAGGATAATTTGATTCAACTTACCTGATAAAAAAAAAAAACAACAGAAAAATCATTCTCCTTAACCAATAAATATCTTGCTTAATCTGCTGTTCTAGTGTAATAAATATATTCAGAAAAAAGCTTTTTTTCTTTTTCAATTTATAGAGGGTCTGGAACAGAAACATATTAGGGTTTAATAGAGCATAGTGGAAACACTAATCAAATACTGTACGAGGGTTATCAAAAAGTTCGTGGACTGAGGCTATAAAATTAGTAATATGTGCAGTCTGTGCTTTCAAAATTTATATGAAACATAAAACAATAAAAAATAAAGAAATGTTGAAAATCTTAGCATGATACGTTCATTATTTGCCAAATTATTATAAAATGAAAACGACATTATATGTTCACCCGGCGCTATCGTCGCCCCTTCCCCCTTTTGACGTCAATTTCAAGGCCTCATTTGTTTGGATATTCCGTATAAAATTTACGATAAAAATTATAAAAATTCCAGAATGAAGTGAAAATTTTATATTTTGTGGAACAATTGTGTCCCCATACATACCTAAATTAATGGGATTTTTGGATGTCATATGATCATAGTTTTTCTCAATTACTCATAAGTCGCAAAGGCGTCGTGTTCGATGTTGCGCCGCCTGGACATACCATTGGTTACAAAAACATTACTATTTTATTAAAAAAATTTATGATTTATTGTTAATTCTCTAGATTGAAAAGATGATGCTAACTAGATATTTTAAAAGTCATTGATGTGCCTATAGCGGTTTTAATTTTACGTTTTTACATTATGGAATTCGAAGTAAAATGTAATAACGCAATATTTATTATTCCAAGTTTTTTTTATATCCATTTTGCATAATTGTTATTACATTTTGTATTGTATCTAAGCATGAATTCTTAAACCTTTAAGGATGATAATAAGTTACCTGATAAAAAACAAAACAACAGAAAAATCATTTTCTTTAACCAATAAATATCTTGCTAAATCTGCTGTTCTAGTGTAATAAATATATTCCGATAAATGTGATATTTTTTTCTTCCTCAATGTTTAGAAGAATAGAAACAGAAACATGTAAGAGGTCTACAGAAGATAGCGAAGACATTAATTAAATAAAAATGTATAACGCAGAGGGAAACGAATACTTTCATGGCTATGCAAATGTAGGTAGATGAATTTAGATAACTTACAGCAATCAAGATCGTAAATGCAATTAAATATTACCGGGAACAGGACAAATAGAGAACTCCCCAAAAGTAAGATGTGGGATCAAGTATCTTGGAGGAATAAACATCAATATTATACGATTATACGATAATAAGATATGCAATATCAATCATAG